AATAATTGAAAACCGAAGAATTTGACTACAATCAATTTTTCCTCTTCTAATTCGGTTTTTATAGATAAAAATACTATTAAAGAGATGGTAATGTAATAGTATTAAGGTCTTCTTGATTCGTTTTGATGTTCGGGTTGCAACGGTTCTAAAACGAATTCAAACGAACAACAATCGGCTTACGCGATTAAACCGAAAATTCAAACGACGATTGATAAAATAAAATTCACCGAGATATATAATTATAGTATCTGTATAATAATAAAAATATATAATCACATAATCAAGGTATATATAAATATTAAAATAAAATACCATTAATTAAAATAAACTCATAAAAATCTAATATTCGAACGGGGCGCTACACTCACGGCCTTAAGCATGATGGGTTTTAGATTTTTGAACACATGCCAACCTTCAGAGGTGGTCGAAAAATGCGACCATCCAGCCTCACGGCCTTAAGCATGATGGGTTTTAGATTTTTGAACACATGCCCACCTTCAGAGGTGGTCGAAACATGCGACCATCCAGCCTCACGGCCTTAAGCATGATGGGTTTTAGATTTTTGAACGCATGACCACCTTCAGAGGTGGTCGAAACATGCGACCATCCAGCCTCACGGCCTTAAGCATGATGGATTTTAGATTTTTGAACACATGCCCACCTTCAGTGGTGGTCGAAACAAGCGACCACCCAGCCCGAGGGCCTTAGTAATAATAATAATAATAATAATAATAATAATAATAATAATAATAATAATAATAATAATAATAATAATAATAATAATAATAATAATAATAATAATTAATCAATCATAAAATAATTATCCTCAAATAATCCATAATCAAATGGGGTATTACAGTCTATCCACATTACAAAGAATTTTGTCCTCAGAATTCGAGAACTAAAATAGCTAGAATACAAGAGAAATATCACACAAGGTGTTTGGTACTCCCTCCGAATCTCGGTCTCCCTCCTCCAAGTCGTCTCGCCCTTGACTTGACTTCTCCCACTGGACTTTGACGAATACCCCCTTCCGGCCATTCCCTGATGGACCCTCTGATCCAAAAGGTCACTGGTACCTCCATACAGGTAGGGTTCTGTCTAACATGCAGCTCGTCATAAAACAAACATACCTCGAGGTCACGCACACGTTCCTCTATCATAAGACATATAACGTGTCATGCATCCTCGAAATTCCTAGTGGTGCAGTCAATCATCAGGCAAGTCATCAACTTGGTCGAAGATCATAATATAACTGATATAGTTTGGCCGCAGCCTCTTTTCTTACCACAAAGCTCCTCACTTCGCGTGGTCATAACAATGCAATCGAGTACAACGAATCTAAAAAGGTAAAACATCCAAAGTTGCCTCACTTCTTTAGTCCTCCAAGGAAGACTTAGGTCAATGCAATACACGTGAAAATTTCCCGGACTCGATACATATTTACACGCTAGAGACTTGGCAGCTGTGACATGAATGGCTGGCCTGGCATGCGGCAACGCGGCACGCTACATGCGGCACACTACACACGACACTTCTTATAACTTGAGATGCATCACCGAGCGTGGCACGCGTGTGCGCGGCACCAACACGCAGTACACCTGCACCGCCTGAATCCAGTAGCTACGGTTAATTTCTCATCAGCTGTTACATCTCCCCATTTTGATACGTACACGAAGATCGAAAATTCCCTAGTGTTTTGCGACCCTAATCTGAACTACAAAATCCAAGCACTCCGACTTTGCTGTCAGGTTACTTGTACTTC